GCAATATTTCCATAACTAATTAATACAACTGGTTTTACACTTCTACATCCCTTAACTGCTCTAACAATACCTATTGCATTAGCTATATCAAATTCTGCTCTGTGAGTATTTCCGAATCCTGGATTATCACAAAGAATGATGCTACCATCAGTGAAAGCGCCAACATCTTTGAAATTTACTGTAACAGCAGTTATATATCGAGTTTCAGACTGAGCAAATGGTGATGTTGTTACCTTTTTTAGATCAGAATTTCTTATATTAACAGGACTAATGTGGTTAAATCTGTTTACTATTACACGTTCCATTTGAGAGCCCGCAAGAAAATGAATAGTTGTTGATTTACCTGATCCAGTTATTCCGAAGAAAAGAATAATATTTTTGTCTTTTATTAAATACACTACTTTATCTGCTTCCTCGATAAGCGTAAATAATTCTTGCATATTTAATGAACTGAGCTCCTTGAATAATATTTTCATTGTTGTCAGGGCAGCTTGCCAATTTTCATCTTTTAGATCAATTGAACATGTATCTACTAAATTTTGAATTCTTACGGACTGTAGTTCTTCTATTTTTAATCTTTCCTGTAAATGTTTAAACTTTCCTGTAAATGTTTAAACTGTTGTGCTGTTTCTCTTTCTATCTGGCTAGGTATTACTATACTCGCATCGGCTTCTACTAAACAACCAACTGATTTCAAGGATAATAAATATAGTAAATTAGCGATGGATCTTTCTGAGCAAGGTGGCATCGAACAAAAGTAATTATACATGTTTCTTAGATGCTCCTTTATTACTGACGTAGTTGATGGTAAAAAACTCCCGTATTCTTCGATCAACAAGCTACTTGCAATTTGATCATTGAATGTTTGATCATTTGAATATCTCATACCTGTACCTCGTTCATATGTAAGTTGAACTTCTTCAGCTGCCTTTAATAAATTTTTAATAGTAATACTAGCACTTTGCTGTACATCACGATGTTTTTCAACATAAGTCCAACGTAACAAAGTATCTGGATAAATTTCCTTAAGCTCATTTCCTAATTTTTCAGGAGAAAAATCGGAATATTCTACCGGATCCATAAGTTGGGCCAATTCAATCTTCCGGTCTGTTTCAAATTTTAACAAGATTCCAATCCAATGCAAACCTTCGATATTATAAGGAATGAGGATAACACGTTGTCCATTTCCTTTTCTTCTTGCTTCTATCAATCGCTCTTTCCATCCAGTCGGCACATTGTCATGGACAGCTTTAAGTACATAAATTGATTTCGAAAAGCGTGTAGGAAACTTCTGTTGCAATTCTTCCAATCGAGTTGACAAAATATTATCAATATCCATGTTCTGATCCAGTGAAATTTTAAACAGACAGGAAGATTGAATTGGCCCAACTTATGGATCCGGTAGAATATTCCGATTTTTCTCCTGAAAAATTAGGAAATGAGCTNTTAAGAAATGCATACTCAGTTGAACATCTTATTGGTTGCAAAATGGCTTGTCTAGACGAATTAAAACAAATTGTTATTGATGATATAAAAGATATTACATTTATCGAAGTATGTAAACTTTATATATGTGTATCAATGACTGGTAGAACTTGCGATTGTAAGGGCAAGTGCGGTACAAAACAATGTTCGTGTAAAAATTGGGAGCTTTCCTTCCGACAAAATATCGTTGAAAACGAGATGGTTGCACAAGTATGGATGAATAGATTCATATGCTTTACCTTGAAAATTGTTGTTTAATGAAGAAATATTCTTGAATAAAAAAAATATTCTACCCAGCTTTAATTGTTTTGATTATGTGAATATATTTTCAGTCGCACACTAATTTTGCCAAGGCGAAATTGGGATTCCAATTCTACCCTAGCAATGTCTCGTCAAAATTAAGTCTAACTTTGCCTAGGCAAATTTAAAATTTGTCTGAATCTCAATTTCGCCTATAACATATACACAAGGCATAATTAGAGAGAGCGAACGAAAAGGAAAAAGCAGGACTCGAAGCATGTATTCGGCGAAATATAATCTAGTAATTTCAATGAACTATCATTGATTGGCATACTTTTGTGAAGCTTTCATCCTGAACAATAGCACTATGATAAGACTTAAAATGTCCTGATTTTAATCGAAATTTCTGATTTTTGTCTAAAATGTGTCCTGCCTATTTTCCTGATTTTCAGACATAGGCCGCTGCGACCCCTGAACATTTTATCATCGAAACTTACAGTAGCCTCCAATACAATCTTTCAATAATTGAAACTAATTTTAAAAGAAAAAACACCACAATTAATTTCCATTAATATTTCTACATTGAACTGCAAATCCAAATGTTTTTCTTTTAATTTTTGACAAAATGAATTGCAAATTCTGACTAACCTTTCTTCAAAGCTAAACAATACTATTTTGTTCAAGAATTTTGGGTGTGGGTGTGGCTGTGGTGGATGGGTGTGGTTGTGCGTGTGGGGTGTGGCTGTGGCTGTGTGGATATGAGTATGGGAGTTAACCTGCTTTCCAACCACACCCACACCCAATGATAGGGGCTTGTTGAAGTTTCATATCCATAAGGACAAGCCAAGAGAGATCCTTTGTTAACCCTTTCACGGCGATTCGGTTTTCCTAGGAAAATAGCTTCAACATATTAATTTTCAGACGTGTTCATGCCTGATAAATGTGCAAATCGATGTTTTCAATCTGTTGGAAATATCCATAATTCGTAATCAGGATTCTTCCAATATAATATACTGTGCTGGTTTTTTCCTATTGTCTTTTCTTCTCTGGTAAATGGGATTTCTCCAACTTGTCCATACATATATATATTTATATATAGTATACATCATTCTAGTCGAGATAATGATAATAAACTAAACTCGCGGTTTTTGAAAATTTGCAATTTACATGCTGTTCGAAGAAACGGATATAGAGGAAAGTGGTAACTCATAGAGCGATGTGAGTAGGGATGACCCTTTATCTTTACTTTCCTTTGTAATAAAGAATAATGATAAAGGATTCATTTATCATTATTTTTTAAACTAATGCTAAATGACCATCCCTAGATGTGAGGAGTCTTGGATAATAGTTTTCTCAGAATGCAATTCGAATATTCAAGCTCCGAACAACAAGCTACAGATGATGGTGATGATGATATGGATTCCCAAGTCTAGGGCGAAATAGAATCAGAATCGGATGCTGAATTCTCGGAAGAGTATGGAATGATGGAAGTAGTACCGGCAAATTCGAAAGATAGTACGATCAATCCTATTGATTGCTATCGACATTTCCTCACTGACGAGATTATTAGTCTTATGATTCGCGAAACTAATCGATATGCAGAACAACACCTACAAACCCAAAAGCTTAGCAAACGATCAAAAACTCTTCAGTGGCAACCAACTACTAATGAAGAAATGCTCAAGTTTTTGTGGATTATTATTGAAATGGGATTAGTGCAGATGCCAGAAATAGATTACTACTGAAGCAAAAGCAAGTTGTTTGGATCTGAAGTAATTCAAAATACAATGTCGAGAGATAGATTTAAATTATTCCTCAAATTTCATCATTTTTCGAATAACCAAGAAGAGCATACAGGCCAAAATAGATTGTTCAAATTGAAACTACTTCTAGATTTATTGAAAGCTAGATTTAAGTCAATTTATATTCATGGCTCAATTATTTCTGTCGACGAAACAATGGTACCATGGAAAGGCAGACTTTTGTTCAAACAATATATTCCTGGAAAAGCGCACAAATATGGCGTAAAGATATACAAGTTGGCGGCTACTAATGGATACACGTGGAATTTTATGGTTTATACTGGTAAGCAGGATCCAGCGGCCGACGTTGGGGCATGCTCAAACTGTCATAATCGATTTAACTGATGGTCTTTTGGGATATTATCGAACTATAGTAGTTGACAACTTCTTTGCAAGTACCATTCTTGCAGAAATTTTATAGCGAAATGATACTTATCTTATTGAAACACTGAGAAGCAATCGCGCTGAATCATGGCATGAGGTTGTTCAGAAGAAGCAAAAGTGTGGTGAAGTTTATAGACTTCAGAGCAACAACGGTATATAACTAATCAAGTGGAAAGATAAAAGAGATGTTTTGATGATATCCACAAAGCCATTGCATTCTGCAACTTTGGTAGACACCGAAATAACCAATAAAGCCAATGAACGCATCATGAAACCACAAGTTGTCCTCGAGTACAGTAAGGAAAAACAAGATATAGATTTATCTGATCAGTTATCAACATACTATACATGCCTTCGATGGTTCAAAATATGGTATCACAAAGTGACATTTGAGATGATATTTGAAGTGTCAATAGTGAATGCTTATTTGATTTACAAAGAATATTATGACACGAGTAGGATGACGATGTTACTGTTTCGCGAAATTCTTGTGTGATCTATACTTCTTGATGTGCCATTCGAGAATCTAAAGCCTGGCTCAAGAGAACGTTCAACAAGCCAAACGAAGTGCAAACTCGCGAATCACAAGCTCGAAGAAAAGAAAGGATCTGATCGCGATGTCCGAAGACGTTGTGTTGGCTGTTACGCGAAAAACAGGAAACAACAATCAAGAGAAGCATGTCATGCAACAACAAAGAGAAAAAATTTCTGTTCTGGGTGTAACAATTTTTTGTCTTGATTGTTTTAACGAGAAGCATCACGCTATGCAATAAATGATTTTGAAAAATAGCGAAGGCAGAGCAAATCACATCTTACGTGTAACCTCCTGCCCAAGAATAAATGAAAGAAAAGTATTTCTTTATAAAATTCCTTGTTAAAATATAGTGGGGTCTACTCTCTAAAAAAAAGGTGTTCTAGTGAACCTTTTTTCGGTACCATTTTCTGAATCCTTTTTCAGTTCTAGATATGTTCGCTAGAACTGAAAAAGATTTAGCCGGCAGGTCTAGAACCTTTATGAGTTCTATACTTGCTGGATAGAACTGAAAAAAAGGTTCAGCGTGACATCTTTTTTTTTAGAGAGTATCGGTGGATCACATCGCTGTGGAAGAGTTATGGCTCTGGCAGAGAAATGAAGAGGCATCAAATAAAAATAATTCTCGTAGTCAACTATATTGTCTGTTTAGAATTATTAAAAAGTCAGATTATATTTATTCCCAGTAATTCACTATAGGTTTATTGACGGATTTCTAAGATTTCATGATCAAATCGTTGTGTCTATAATAATATTACAATAAAGAAAACATAATCGAAGAATCGTATATTCAGTTTTGAACGGTTCTTCATGTTCATATAATCTAATCTAATTTTATCAACCTCTTAATCAGTGTGAAATAGTCGATGTCAATCTGTCACATGAATTCCAACATGATTATTCAACCAAATGTCAACACAAATTAGATCCAGGACACGATTATAATCTTTAACATGTAACATCAACTAAAGAGCTTTTCTTGTCAAATTTTTATGTATTGCTATGATTAGTTAGTCATTAATACTAAAATTAGTCCATCTGAAATATATGGTCTTTCTTAAGATATATAAATGAAGTATACTATTTTCATCATTTAGCAATCGGTGATCTATTAAATAGTCTAAGATAAACATGAATTTATCAAATTAAATTTTATTTCAATTAAAATTTTGCGTATAAAATAGTTTTATATGGTACAGTTATATACAACAATAGGTCTTAAATCCAATCCAACAGTATGTACTATCACGGCTTTTGCCGGACTTCATAGTTCTCATTCTTAATGGACAGCTAGAGTCGAGGAAGCAAAGAGGTGCATCTCCTTGCCAAATGCACTTACTTAGGGTATACCAAAAGTTCTGATCACAGTTTTTAAAATTTAATAAAGCAATAAATATTGAATATTTTACTAAGGCAATATATAGTATAACGTCTCGTCTTTAATAATATATAGAGCAACTCTCTCTTAGACTTAGTTCTAACATCCTTTCAGACTAAATCTATAGTATTTATAGCCAAGAAAAGATCATGCCAACATAAAACCACAATACAGAANATATCACTTTTTCATTTCATTTCAATGTTTTGTGATTGTGATGGACCAGATGGCATCGGAAATCTGATGAGCCCACCCTCGTTTGATGCAGTATTCAAGATCTATGGATCAATGTATTATTTAGAACTTTCCGAACATCAAGCCAGGCAAAGTGAAAAAATCAAATGCAGATTTTTTTCGAAAAAATCGATGTAGCATTTTTTGGACTAATTTTTGTCTTTTTAACAGAAGCCTCAAGCATCACCCAAATAAAAAATATTTTGTTCGTCGAACTTCATCAGAGTAGTATAAAATAATTCTTTGATGCCTGTCTATGCACTACAAAATCATGGTCGACTTTCCCGTATAGGCTTTCGCAATCTTATTCATTAATTCTATAAAAATTAAGTGAAAATTTTACAAATAATGAAGGACTAGAAAGTAGCAGAACTATTTAATCACATAAAATATTAACAACAAATGGTGTTTATGAGAAATGTTCGCTCTTAATTTTCATGTTGAACGACAATGTGAGGTTCACTTTTACTGCACCGATTCGATTGCCGCTCAAGTGAATAACAGCAGGACCAATGTTGTTTGCCAATAGATGCTTTTATACCTAAATTAAAGCCGCATTTCAAATAGGAGCAATCTTCATATCTTGCATGCCATGTTCCACCATGAATACAGTCACCACCATAATTATCGACAATGGAAAATTTACGACCACATTTCTGGCAAATGTGAGATGATGGTACTCCGTCTGACATATGGTTCTGAATTAAAGAAGAAAAATGTCTTTCATTCGAAATCGTACTGATCTTTTCTAGAAATATTGGTTGTTACCAGGACCACCCTAGTTGCAATTCGACAGGAGTGGGTAGATGTGGTCACCCACTTTTTCTGAACTACTCCTATTTTTCTTCTAATCAGTAAATAATTATCTATCAACTATTCATGAAATCAGTTTCAATTTCATAAACTAATAAGGCACTATTATAGTCCTAGTTGATACTAATAGAAGAAATATGTACAATGTTTTTTTGGAAATGGCAGAAAATAGCTTTTTCATACCGAATGGTATATTTGAATTGAATGATATAGAACTTCCTACCTTCATGTCTACCGTCGAAATTAATTGTGCTGACTTTTTCGTATTATGTAAAATATTCTCTTGTGGATATTGCGGATGATACATACCATATTCTAAATACATGAATGTACTATAGACTGGTATTAATAAATATTGGATGAATCGACTCAAGCTATTCATTGAATAGGAATACCAGAAATGTGAAATATAACATGAAATTCAATTGCATCAGTTTAATTTTTGTTCAACTTTTCATTCCAATGACTGCAAAATGAAGCTTGTAAAACAAATATTGACAGAGAGAAATCCTTGAAATTCAATAAATTTTTTTCGTTTGCCTACGTAAAACACACTCGGTCCATCGTCAGAATCCTTTATCCATAATCAGCACAAGGCGTTACATCGAACAGATAGGGTTTATCGAAAAATATTTTTTTTTATCTTTCAGACGAGTCTTCTAGGACCAAAGAGATCGAAAAACGAAGAATTATGGGAGAGCGAAAAACTATTTCTCATAACGGATAAACTTTCACATCCATGTATTTCAGATCGAAGCCTTTGGAAAGATAGATTTATTGTTCACTTTCGTTATTGTTTGTCAAACAGTCACAAACACTCATTCATGGTATCGAACTTCAGTTCAGAACATTTTCAGGCGCTGCCCATGAAAAAACTGATAAAAATTCAACAAAAAATGTTATCCCTCTGACCGTGAAGATGCGTTAAAAAATCATTTTCAACGAACTTCTACATGCGTTTTCCCATTAAAAATAGTTTAAGATGAAATAACTCGCAGAACTTTGTTGAAAACAACTTTTAAACGCGTCTTCATGGTCACAAAAGTAACATCTTTCTCCGTTAAAATGTTAAATTTTCATCACTCTTTATATGAAAGGTCATGATTGATCAGAATCCAAAGAATTCTGTCAGGTTCTGATCAGCAAATGCAATAAGTATCTAGACGTTTCCGAACTCAAAATCCCCTACCTGATCTTGTTACAATGGCAACTTCTTCTGACGATTTGATTGCTCTGCTCGTCGTCTCAGTTTGTTTTACTTGAATGAGATGAATAATGGATTGTACGTCGTTATTATCAATAATGCGAATAGTTGATGGATTCTCAAGCATCTCTCGAATTTGTTTCACTTGTTCCATCCATTTCTTCAAATCTATTTCTGTGTAATCATCTGATTGACGACCCGATTTCAATTCATTAGCCACTTGATTCAGAGATGTCTTCAATTGTTGCTCTTTATGATCAAGATATTTTTGTATATCTATTCGAGCTTGCTCTGCTACTGCTTGAATCTTCATAATCGATTTTTGCTCCCAATCATTCACGTAAGATACGAGATCATGCACAGCATTGTCTTGGGTGAGATCTCGTTGAAGTAGATCATGTTCTTCCCCTAAATTATCCATTCCTATGGCAAGCTCTTGTCGATGTTCGTTAAAGCGTTTTACACAAAACCATTGTTGGCATCCACCACATGTAGCGACTCCTCCACCTTTATCACATTTGATACATAGTTGTTTGGCAGTAACTGATGCCATGTTCCCCTACCTGAACAACGAAATATAAAGTTCATTTTTTAAGCAGTATCAACTACGTACCGTCACAACTTACAATTCAAATTGCAATACTCAAACGACGCAACGATGCAATTTCTTGCTTCGTGCAAATGAAAAACAAAAATATGCAGACGACAACAACTTTCACAAGAAAGCAGGTAAATTTGTTCGTTCTTATCGCGTGGAAATTTGAAAAAAAAAAGGAGAGAAATTTATGAGTCATGATGAAAAACAATAAACGGTGATAAAGGAAACATTTTTTTTTGCAGCGATGAATCATGCCACTGTCGATTACGAATGTGACTTCAAAACTGTGAAGGTCGTATAACGTGAGAGCGAAGTAACTCGACAGAGGGTGTGGGTGTGTGTGGGTGTGTGTGTGGGTGTGGATCTTCTTTCCATCGAAATCCAACCATACCCCACACCCACACCCTAGTTTACGTTTTATTATTGATTTTGGACATAATCAAGATGCTTCTGTTGAATAACGCAAATATAAAAATATTAAATTACTTTTTGAAACCTTCGATAGCGGATTATTAGAATAAAAAAAAGACAACAGAAATAAATACCTGCAAGGTTTGTATTATTACCTGAATAATTCAGCAATAGATGTTGATGGTACTTTAGTTGAACTATTGCTTTTATTCTCATATAAATCTTCAAAATTTTCTGCTGATTCTTTAACAGAATGAATACAACTAACTGTTCCATGTATTGTATTATGACGTTCAACTTGTTTTCATGTTATTTTATAATCTTTTGATGGTAATGGTCCTTGACATCCTTGCCATCTTGATACATAGAAATTAAATTCCTCAATAGTTTCATCATCCTTTATACTTGATAATCTAATGTTAGACGACGAAGATCAATATGTATGAAGAGAATATTACTAAGACTTTTTGGAACATAAGTTTTTAGTATAGGTTCATACATCGTTGAATCTGGATTGACAATATTAGCTTTTTTTACGCCCAATTATAATTCAAATTGTTTGAAAAATCTCAAAAGAGCATTGGATGAAATGATGAGACATTTAGATAAACATACACCACGAAAAATATGATTAGAATTTTTTTTTCAAATTATAATTAACGTTGCAAGTAAATACCTTGAAAATCGACCATTTTTATTCTAAAAGAAAGACTTCAATTGAGAATTTGTAAAACAATACGAAAACAAGTAACATGAACCTTTTACAATACAAAGAGAAATTATTGTTTCGCTTTAGAACTCCAAGTACAAAAAAAAATCGTAGAATAGTTTTATATTGTTTCGAACATTCGATCTTTTATTAAACGTTAAATAACATAATGAGCTTAACTTACTTTGAAAATATTCTTTTTGCTAGAAGATCTTTCATAATCGCTCCTTGAAGTTCACTTAAAAACTTGCCAATATCATCGTAAAATTAATCAATAAAGATTAAATCAAAGAAATCTTCTCTTTAACATACTGTTCGATCGATTCCTGCTTGTTGACTAATAAACATAATATATCCATTATCATCGATAATGTACCATACATCTGTATCTAATTTATCCTAAAAATATTTTCAAAAAATTCTTTCAAATCCAAAAATTCCAAAGAGAATATTTGGAATATTATTTCATCGATTTTATGTTTTACTCATTCATATAGTTGTTATTATAACTAAATAGATATGTAATGTTGTCATTGGTGTTCATAATCCTATATTTTCTTCTAAAGTATTCATTTATATAACAAAGAAAAAAGAAAAACATCGATTAAATAAAAACGAATAGAGTTGAATACTTGTTGTATTTGTATGATTTTAAAAACGTATTTCTATAGAGAAAAATTTTTCTTAAAAGTAAAAAAAAATCTTAATTCTAATGCATACGTGAATTTGTTGCTTGTACATATGGTATGCCAAAAAAAAGTGAATAAGCATGATCTTTAACATCAATATGACCAACATCATAAGAATAAGTTGCATGTATTGTTCGTTCATAATAATATCATTCAACTGAATTTAGATTTGCATCATTGATTCTCTAAGAAAATTTTATTAAAAATTTTTCTGGAACGTGTAGCTAAAAATATCCAATGTAAATGATTTTCATATTCATATTCTTTAAAACTAAGAGGAGCTAATTTATCTAATGATTTTTTATGTTTATCATTTGTTATAGAAAAACTTCACGAAGTTCTTCAGAAAGATTTCTCAGATGAATGATTGATAGATTTTCATCTAGAATGAAAAATGAATACGATTGAGATAAACTCGGATAAGATGTAAAGTTCTCTTTTAATTAAATATTTCTCATCGTTGAATTATATTCTGAAGAAAAGAAAAAGATTTTATATTGAGAAGAGAGAAATTGTTTAGATAAATCGAACAAGATTTGATTTATTTTGCTTAAAAATAAAGAAAAAGAGTTATAAAATCAACTGAATAAAAAATGAATTCTATTGTTTATACAAATAATAACTGTGATAAAGATTAATCAATGAATTTTCGATGCTTGTTCTTCAATAATAATGATAAATGTTTTAATTGATTTCTATAGAAATATTGATCTGTCATTTCAATGAGATATTTATAGAAAGAAAAATCTTAATCAAAATAAAAATTTCAGTATTATTATTAATCGTCAGTGAAAATATCACTTAATAATGAATTAAAAAGATGAAATAATGATCATTTTTCTTTAGAAAAATAAATTGAACTTCTATTAAATTGAATTGTTTTATTCTGATTTGAATGACAAGTTTAATACTTTAATCATTTTATTATATTCATCAAATATTCTTTTTATCTGTTCAACAAAAAGATCTTTTTTTCTTAGCTTCTTTTTAAAAATAAATATTTTCCATTTGAATATCTATTTCCGATTGATCATCGTCAAGCTTATATTTATCTTCATCATTATTATTCAAATTTATTATCAAAGAAAAAAATAGACTTAAAATTTCTTCTTTCGAAATCTAAATGAAATATTTTGAGAAATAAATGAACCATTGAAACTCATTTAACAATTCATCAAAAATTCTTCGATTTCAATTAAATCACTTTGAAAAACTTTTAAATGTTCTTGTAATGAGTCATTAATCGCCAGGATTTAATTGAAGAGAAACGTAGAATTCAGATTATTGAGAAAGGTTTTTACATTTAAAGCATTTGTCGTATATTGAAGGAGATTATTTGTTGTTAAACTAATATTTTCAAATGAAAGATTTCTTTGAACCAATGATCTAGAAAACAAATAATTTTTATCATCCTTTTAGTTTGTTTAATAAATTCTCTTAGTAATCATTGATCTCATTGAATATTTTTTTATATTGATCAAAGAAGTTCCTCAAATTCTTACTGAAGTTGTTCTTATTGATTGATTTGTTGTTTGTATACATGCAGGTAAAAGTGGAATTTGAAATTGAATTTGATTTGATCAATCCATTGGTCAAAATGAAATTATATAGATGAAATATTCACGTAACTAAGCAAATCGATTTAATTATTTCGAGAATTGAACAAAAGAATAATTCTTACTAATATGAATTATTTATTTCAATTAAGTAAATTGACAGAATTTTTTGATCGGATCAAAACAATGTTTTTTTTTTCTTACTTTTGATGGATATTGATAACGAGGTGATGAAATAAATAAATGTTCAATAGAAATTCCATCTAAATAAGAAAAGATATTGATCATATATCAGATGATCACTGCAGATTTGAATATTATTTCTATGAATGAATATACATATAGTATCTCCTGGAGAGAACATGCCCATCATCAGAAAAATGAGAAAGAGAATTATATATATAAAGGAATCTATAGAGGAAGAAGAAGATAACAATATAAGTGTACGTATTATATGTGAGAAGTTAATGAAGTGTAAAGAAGATGAAGAACAGTAAGAAAGAGAGTAGAACACATAGACAAGTTAATTGATAAAAGATATGTACAATTATCCGGCACAGATGCAAAAAAAAGGATAATATCTCATCTTCGTTTTTCATTGCATTTAAATTATGTATATTATAATTTCATTATCATCTTTCATCGAAGAAAATTTTGATATATCTTTTTCATTTCGACATTGAATGACACAAAGAGTTCCATTAGAACCTATATGTATATATATATATGATTCGATGATATTGGTATGACATGATCATGAATTAATACTCTACTACGTTTGGATAGTATTTTCTATATAATTTGCATAGATATCAGCATTAATCTTAGATTTGACCGAAAGTCCTGAGAACATTAAGTAAAAATATAAAGATAAGAAGATATTTTTCATCTTATTTTATCAAATCTTTGCGATAGTTATTATGATTATTTTTACCAAGTTGAATATTTTCTAACAATTTATTAAAAGTATTTTTGAGCTCTTTTTCTAAAAAATTTTTTAGCTACCTTGAAAACTACGTGAACACATCATATTTCATTTATTCTATCAGTTAAACTTCAATCAATAGAAATATTTAACCAAAGATTATGTAGTACTAGGTTCAACGAATACGGCGGATGTGACATTATGTTGATGCTTTTTTCTCTGAAATAATTAATAACATTAGATGAATATGAAGTCAACCATGATCGTTAAAGCAATTTTATATCTTTTTGAACCTGAAATATCTGTTTACTTCCATATTTAATTAATAAAAAGCTTTAGACAATTATCAATACAATACTTGTGATCTACTGTCTTGTCTTTATTTACACTATGTATAACAATAGGACTGTTTAATTTAAAGAATATAAAAAACAAAGTTTTGGTTAAAATTTGTCTCCATGAACAACAATCTTTGCCATAATCATCTTCATTAATTCAGTTAGCATCATATGAATTACTATCAATCTATCTAAAATAAATAGGCAAATGAAATAAGATATGTTCAGACGGTTTTCAAGGTAGCTAAAAAAAGGTTTTAGAAAAAAAAATTTAAGAAAAATTTTAATAAATTGTTAGAAAAGATTGAACTTGATATTAATAATCATAACAATTATCGTGAACATTTGATAAAGTAAAATTAAAAATATCTCTTTATCTTTATATTTTAATTTAATGTTCTCAAAACTTTTGATCAAATCTAAGTAAATGTGATGTTTTATTTACAGTATTCGATTTTCTTTACATTGATTAACGAATCCACACTCGTTTATTTTCAATTCGAGTTACATCTTCGAGAAATGTACAAGGATAGTGATACAATGTCCACTGTATTATTTCAAGATTAGTAGGTGATCTTTCATTGGATCGGCCACGTGGACAATAGACTTTCAAAGCTCGAAGATTCTTCATTCGATGGACAAGATCATGAATAACAGTTCGATTTTCAATAACAATAAGAAGAACTTCACATTGTATGGCTAATGGTGAACGAGTGAATCTTAAACATTGTTCAGTATTAAAGCAGCGATCACATTTAGGATAATAAAAACTTTGTAAATCGAGTCGACGAATCGATGTACTGTTGATTTTCCCTGGAATCTCTTGGATAATCGATGATGACCATGTTTCAATTGTTAATGAATAGAGATGTGGTGCTCGATCGATCAGATATTGCAATTGATTGAAAGCATTATCACTATCAGTATCATCTCTATTTGATACAACAAGTGATATTAAATGATCTAATCTTGGAATATTTAACAAAAATTGATCACACATTGGAAAAGTTATATCAAGATGTTGAATGTTGGAGAAACGAAAAGGATATCGAATCATTCCATTCAATATATCTGAATTATAAATCAATGTAGTTACACGATCAAAAGACCAATAGTCATCTTCCGAAGGACATGTCGCTTTAATGCAATTTTCAGGAGGTCCAAAATGAAGAGCAAATGTATCAGATGCAAACGGAAGCGAATAGAGAACAATTAACGGATGTGAACATAATATTTCCAATTGACATCGAACAAACCATCGACGATCGATAAGCCAGAATGAACTGCGAAAAGAGTGAAGAATTTGATCAATTTGTCTTTCATAATTATGATAAGCATCAACATCACGGTACATAACAAATCGAAACACTTTCAAATTTGGTAAATAATTGACTATGAGTTCTTCGAATTGATGACCATCGATTATCATGGATTCGGTAAGAAGCGTTAATTTAATCAAATGGGACATTTTTTGCAGAAGATTGAACAATTGATTCGATGAATGATGATTAATACGAAGGTTCAGAGAAGATATAGATGAATTCATTGATTGAAATATATTTTCGTCCGAAGGATGAGCGATTCGAAAATGTAAATATCGAAGATTTGGTGTACATCGAAATAGACGAACTATTTCAATGAAATCCACGGGAAGAATTTCAATCGATAGATATTCAATCGATTTCGATCGAATGTTCGGAACCGGAAAATAAGCAATTGGTATCAAAGTCCAGTCAAGATGACAATATTTCAATTGTGATAGACGCCATATTGTATTGACAATATTTGATACAATTCTTTCCTGAACTTTCGACGAACATTTGATCAAACACAATCGAGTAAGATGAGGAAGACGACGACATTGTACAACTATACGACGAATTGTTTGATTCGATTGAAGATGATAGAGTGTTAATGATTGTAAATGAACAAATTGATGTAGAGTGAAACCATAGGAGAAGAAGAGATCGATTTGATCTGGAGTATCATGATCATCCGATAGACGAAGTGCAATTATTCGATCGATCATCGATGGAAGATGTTTGCGACAAATACCGTCAAAATGAAATTTCGACACGGATCGAAAATCGAGACCATGACTTCGAAAATGAATAATCAGAAGTGTATTGAAGCGATAATTGAGATCGGAAAAAGCATGTAAAAGATGAGCACTTGTCAGATATTCGAAGAGATCAAGGAACAGCTCGTTGGCCAACTGTTCAAAATTCATCATTTTTCTCTTCAATTCGATAGATAAACAGACAAATCAACGGTTATGCGTATAGCTTCGAAATGGCTAAGGAAAGACGAATCGTATTAGAAAATGAATAAATGCACTATCTTTTTCACTTCTTTCTCTTTTTCCCATACGTGCATTGTTTTATCTGATCTCTTCGCTCCATTGATTAATGTATCATGGCGTTCAATTATCCTTCTTTCATTCTAAAGGTCAGTTCATGTCTCATTCTGAATAACGAGGGACACTCTTCTCATAATATTGAAGGCAGAGTGAACTATGTAATTAACAATGTTTGAATTTATTTCCTGTTCATCGATTATTTCTTTCTCTCTGTGCAGCCAACAAAATTCTTTCATTGAAATAATCGATCTTGTTCATCATATTAAAGAATGATTAAGAAAAATAAAAAAATGAATGTTAATAAAAAACAATAGTAAATAAATCGTATTCTTTTTTTTTTATAAGTGGTTTCCTCGTAGTGAAATATTTTCTTTTATTTGCAACTTTCTATCCTAAAAAATCGTTCCATACTTTATCAAATAATATGTAGAATCGATTTCAAAATATTTCATTAATATGTAATCTTCAAGAAGGATTTAATGGTGTATTTTCGTTATTTATATATATCTTATGTTTTATATAATTGTTTACTATCAATATATATATATCTATCGTACAGTCTTATCGAAGATGTTAATGACTTTACTATGTCTCTTTATTTAAGAAGAAAAACGAAAGTATTTATACAGGGGAGAAGGTAGTCAATGTCCACCTTCACAGTAAGATATAATTGGAAAAAAACTTATTTAATATCCTTTGTTTCTGACTTGGAAACAACATACTTCAAGTAAAGTAAATCAAAAAATATGGAGAGAAAAGAAAGAGACGAGAAGGATGTGAGTGTGAGAAAATAAAAGATTCACATCCACACTCACACCTAAGATCAATAAAATGTTCAAATTGAATTAATAATTAATTTTTAAAAATTTAACATGTTGAATTATTTATTTTACAATAAGAACATTTTCATTATCAATGTAAAGATTATATTATTCGAAACTATTGGAGAAATCGTCTAAAGTTTATCTCATATTGGACATCGAAATAGTATGGATTTATTTACTATTTTTATGCAAAAGTATTTTTAAAAAAAGACTAAAAAAAAATAAATCAATCAATTAAGATAAGCTGTTTCTATTCAGACAAATATACAAACGTAGTGATAATCATTAAGCAATAAACTTTTAGAAATACTTTATTAATTCATTTAATAGTTATTCTTATTTGATTCAGTGATTAATTCAATTTATTTTTTATAAAATAATTTCAAATATCGAATCTTATTTAGCTACAAGAATGAAATATGTTCAGTGACGGATATATATTATAAGAATAATACTCATCTTTATTTTTCCTCCAGATCGAGTAAATCGAGTTCAACTGCTTTTGAGTTATATATTCTGAAAGCCAGTTTTGAAACACATATTTTCCTATATATTCTTTTCTCATAAGAGTTTCTCTATCGGGCATCGACAAACGTTTTTATGAACACCCCTAGTACAAATTTTAACAACTTTAAGAGATTTCTAGTGATTCCAAAAGTGTTTAGTTTTCGTTTGAAAAATGCCACTGGAAGTTTATCAAATACTATCAATAGATGCAGCGAAATTTTCTCTACACAATGGTATAAATAGATTAATTTAAAATTTTTCTTATTAGGAACCATCGAACCCCGAAATATAAGATAATTTATAAAAAATTCCTTTTTTATGCTATTTTTGCTAAAAATATTTACATGTTTCGAAGTCATTTTATTCTTATTTTTCATGTAGACAGAAAACAGACTATCATAGAAAACTTCCTCGTAATTTTACTCTACAAGATGAGATAAGTTCAACAAAAATCAGAATAGCCTCAACCTCGAATATTCAATAAGTATTTCAAAACATGACATTTTTTCAAGTTTATACCAATATTTTTCTTTTAATTCTACTTTGCATTTTTCAAGGATTTTGAAACTTCTATTTCTAAAATAAGATCAAATTGATGTTGAGAGAGGTAAGAAAACATTAGCAAACAGTATATAAAGTAGTTTAATGTACATTTCATCTATGGATCAATACGATTTTGTTCACATTCTGATTTCTATCGTTACAGATGAAATACTGTGTGTAAACCTCTAGTTTGTAAGCTTCAATTTATTTTGATAAGTCTACAAAAAATGGTGAAGGTTGAGGTGTGGATATGAGAGAATAGAACACCCACACCGCTGTTGTGTACAACATTTTTTTTTCATGGGTAATATGTTCCAGCAGAGAAAAATAGTGTGATGATAAAAGAACAATTAAGTAAGAGAAACATGCGTGTACGTGTAGGTCTTCTCTTCATTCACAAACCATAGTCAAGAATTCGAATTTATACGAATATGATTCGTACAGTGGTGTCCTTTTCGAAAGATTATCATTGTACTAGATTTTCTATCTTTGGCAAAGCATTCGTGAAAAAAAATCAAAGAACGGAATTCTGACCTACAGCCTTGAGCATAAACAGGTCTCATGCTCAAGCGAGTATGCTAAAATATTCAGTCAAGACAATGTATTCTTTTTGGAATTTCTAAATGTTCGATAAGGATATTGCAACAGAGTCAAAATCGGAAAATTGAATTTCTTTTCCATTCTGCATCTATGCAAGATTATGTCCGTTTTGACTAAAATTCTCAGTGTAAATACTAAACATAGTGAGAACAAAATAAACATTCTTTTATATTATATAAATTTCGTTTCTTTTTTTTTTCGAAAAAAAAACACTTCTTCTTATAAAGAGAAAAATATGAGTCTTCACAAATAAAAGCGATGATTCATAGGTAACAAAGAGCAGGAAAAAACAGTAATGATTCAGAGAAATACAAACATGACAAGTTCTTTCATGGTAGTATAAAATGTGATGAAACATAAGCATATACTATCATAACTCAGGATGGTCAGGTAAGTTCATAGAAATTTTTTCACTATTAACATACGCTGTCATTTTTGCACTTGAACATTTAACAAAAAAGGTCTCATTTAAATAAGGAGCTGACTTATTTGGTATGATCAACAATATGTTGTGGGTAAAAAATCAGCCGATCTATATATGGATAAATTTTCTTGATGAAGTTCTATGTATAAATTAGAAAGAAGAAATATCAGTTTTTACGGAGTGACACATTAATTTTACTTTCGGTGGTAATGTAACTCATTTCAGAAGCAAATCAGGCTTCCAGGGAAAGATATATATATAAAGCCTTAAAACTGTAATTTCATTAGAAATTTTTTTTTCTTCTCGAAAAGTCAGTTTCTTTTTTTTTCACGCACGTCAATATTCAAATTACAACTTTCATAAACCAAATTTTTCATCGTGCTAAGTTTATAAAACTTGTACACAACGCTACAATTCGTTGTCCACTATCACTGATCCTGTCAAGTATCTATACTTTAAATGTTATAGATTTAACAGCGGAGATAAATTTCATTTTATATATTCTTTATTTGAATAAGTGACGTACGTTTCGCAACATTGAGTTGCATCATCAGACAAGAAATGAGTGAAATTACATTGAGTTATATAGCAATATTGTACAAAGAGGGAAATGAATAATCAAAGAGATAATAGAACAAAACATTTTACAAAGGTAAAGACCGCTATGTTGAAATTAAATTTGTTTTTCTAAACGTTTTGAAAAACAAATAAATCCCTGATCGGCCTGTATTATTCTTCTGCTTCCTGAAATAGTTTCATTTTCACTTTAGGTTTGAATGCTGCTTCGTCTTCCGGATATACGATCAGTGGAGCAGAGCGAACAGTTTTGTTGAGAGTAGGCTTGTGTTTCAGAATAGCTAATGATTCACCAATGAGTAGGCGAGATGGTTTACTGTCCTTACTTATAATTTTCCAGTTTTTCCAGTCTATGGTGTGTCTTGTTTCTACTTCGTGTTGGTGGATAGATGAATTTATGGTACGAGATGTTGTGGAACTGATGGATCCTTCAATGATGTTACTTTCTGATGGATTATTAAGGAGAGCATAGTTAATGACGTTTCTCTTTCGAGTAGAACGTCTGGGTGTGGGGTGTGGGTGTGGGTGTGTGAGTGTGGGTGTGGATGTATGGGTGTGAATGAACGTATGGGTCTTTTTTTATCCACACCCACACCCACTCTCACACCCACTCCCACCCCCACACCCACCCACACTCACACCCATATCCACACCAACACCCACACTCCCTGAAGATAGAGTTGTTGAGTTTGGATGTAAACAATCTTGTGTCATTGCCGAAGACTATGGTTAGCACAAAGCCATGATATAGGATCAGACTAAATGACAAATGACGTCTTCGTTCATTAGAGTCACTCAGTGGCTTTCTAAATCTTAGGTGCTTGGTTAGAAGAAATTGCCCAATTGATCATCGTACTATATTAAAACCTGTTGGATTTTCAATGAAAAACTGACCTAGGAGGGTAGTATTCAGATACTTTTTGCAATCGATACTTTTTATTAAACAACACAGACTATAGAATAGAATCGAAACAAAATAATCGACAAATGAGCTATTAACAGAAAGATGAAACTGTCGAAATCGTCGTTATTTTTCTAATTGCATTTGAATTTAATTATGTTTGATAATAATCAAATCTTTTACTCCTATATCTGAAATATAAGACGATCATATCAAAAAATTTCAGCAGAATATGTCATTGGAACTACTAGAGAAGCGATTCTCCATGCTGTTATTCGATCAAATGAGCCAAAAATCTTCTAGATGCATTACTAATTAAAATTTACACAAAAGCAGAGAAAAATATTTCCAAGATTTAAAAAATTCGTTGATAGTAAATTGGATGAAAATATTGTCCAAGTTATAAATTAGCTGTTCGTTCTTGAATAACTTTCTCCGTCCATTCCCAGAATGTATCTAAATCGTCATCGGTCCATTTATCTGCGATATTTGTAACAGTCGAATCATCAAAATACCGTCCAGTTTCATTTTCTAAGCCAGGCTTTAATGCACAGTACACAGTAGTAGCTGCTCCTTGATCTACGGTTTTTTTCTTGTAAAATATTTTAAAAAGACTAGAGAAGGGTATTTTTGCGTCTAAATTTGTATCAATAACACCTGGGTGAAGAGAATAAGCGGTAATTTGTTTGTCTTTATATCGAGATGCAATGGCACGAGCAAATAATACATTCGCTAGTTTACTTTGTTGATAACTACTCTTTACACTCCAACTATTTTTTGCATCAGTTTTAGTGCTATTGATATGGTCCAATGCTTGATAATTTAACGGTGAATCAACATGGAATAGTGATGATACAATCACTATTCGTGAAGGAGCATTCGCTATTAGAGTAGGCATTAATAATTGTGTTAAATAAGCTTGAGCAATATGATTAACACCTATTAACTGTTCCAATCCATCGATTGTTCTGGCATAGCTAAAATTAACCATTCCAGCGTTTAATATCAAGACATTTAAAGGCTTATTTTCGCTTATAAACTTTTCTGCACATTGTTTAACACTGACTAAACTATTCAAATCACAAATGAGACCTTGCACGTAACCGATAGATTGTTGTCGTTGTTGTAATTCATTATTGATATTTTGAAGTACACCTTGTAGTTTTTCTTCATTTCGTCCCATCAGATAAACGTTTGCTCCAGCACATGCTAATGCTCGACCAGTTTCAAGTCCGATACCAGAAGTAGCACCTGTGACAAGAACATGTAAATTTGCCATTTGATTACCTAGACCGCATTCATTAATGATGTCTTGGGTTGTTAAATAAAAACGAGAATTTGAACGAGAATTACCTGTGCCCATTAACGAATCTAGAAAACAGAGAAACTAAACTAAATTCTAAATGATAGCAATGCACACTAAAATAAACCGTGTCGTGGTCTATCTACTAATCATTCATTCACCGTTCTGTTTCGCGAGTATGTGAGCGTCTCAATTGGGTGTAGCTAATGTTTCAATTCCTTTTATAAAGGACGTCGACTTAGAGATAACGTAAAGGGATATTGCCTGCACAAAAGAGAAGAGAGCTCACTATAAAACCGCTTACCCTAACTTGGGTTTACGTAATTTTTAAATAATTTATATTAAATAGAAATAATAATAATAATATTTATTTTGTAATGAATAAACATTTAACAAATGATAATGATGTTAATAATAGCAACAAAAATAATAATAAATGAGAATATGAAAAATCAATAATAAATGATAATAATAGAAATACTAATAATAACAACAACGACTACACAAACTCAGAAATCAAATGACGCAATTATATATATATATATATATGAGTCACGTGAGTCATCCATAACGAAAAGAACAATAACAAATCAGAAAGGATTAAACAAACATACATATATATGGTTATATGTTTAGCGTCAATGAGCGACATCTTTTGACGCTAACCGATGAGATTATTAGTCTCATGGTTAGTGAAACCAATCGATATGCAGAACAACACGTACAAACGCAGAAGCTTACCAAACGATCGAAAAGTCTTCAATGGAAACCAAGTACTAATGAAGAAATGCTCAAATTTTTGGGCATTATTATTGAAATGGGATTAGTACAAATACCAGAAATAGAATATTATTGGAGCAAAAGCAAGTTGTTTGAATCCGAAGTCATTCACAATATGATGTCGAGAGATAGATTTGAATTACTTCTAAAATTTTATCATTTTTCGAACAAACAAGAAGAGCATGCAGACCGAGACAGGTTGTTCAAATTGAGACCACTTTTAGATTTATTGAGAGCTAGATTCAAGTCAATTTACGTTCTTGGCTCAGTTATTTCTATTTACGAAACAATGGTACCATGGAAAGGGAGACTTTTGTTCAAACAATATATTCCTGGAAAAGCACATAAATATGGAGTCCAAATATATAAGCTGGTGGCTATTAATAGATACACCTGAAATTTTATGGTTTATACTGGTAAGCAGGATCCAATGGCTGGTCTTGGGCATGCTCAAACTGTCGTACTCGATTTGGTAGATGGCCTTTTGTAATGTCATCGAACTGTAGTAGTTGACAACTTTTTTGCAAGTATGCCTCTCGCAAAAAGTTTGCTGCGCAATGATACTTACCTCATTGGAACATTGAGAAGCAATCGCGCTAGATCAGAGCATCGAGTACTTCACAAAAAGCTCAAGCGTGGTGAAGTTTATGGACTCCAGAGTAACAATGGTATAAAACTAACCAAGTGGAAAGATAAAATAGACGTTTTGATGATATCCACAAAACCATCGCATTCAGCAACTTTGGTGGATACCAGGAAGACCAATAAATTAAATCAGCGTATCATGAAGCCACAAGTTGTCCTCGACTACAATGACGGAAAACAAGGTATAGATTTATCTGATCAGCTATCAGCATACTATACATGTCTCAGACGATCTATAAAATGGTATCGAAAAGTGGCATTTGAATTGATATTTGGAACGGCAATAGTTAATGCCTATTTGATTTATAAGGGAAATTAGGACACAAGCAACATGACGATGCTACAGTTTCGTGAAAGTCTTGTACGATCATTACTCCTTGGTACACCATTCGAGAACTTGAAATCTGGTCCGAAGCAACAATCAACAAGTAATTCGAAGCGTAAACTAGCTGATCATAAGCTCGAAGAAAAGAAAGGGTCAACACGCAATGTCCGAAGACGCTGTGCTGGCTGTTACGAGAAAAACAAGATAGAACAATCAAGAGAAGAGTGTCATGCAACAACAAAGAAAATAAAAACTTTCTGTTCTGATTGTAACAAATGTTTTTGTGTTGATTGTTTTAACGAGAAGCATTACGCTATCAATAAATGATTTTAAAAATAGCGAAGGCACACATTACGTCTAACCTTTCATCTAAGAATAAAAGAAAAGAAAGTTTTTTTCTATTAAATTTCTTGTTAAAATATAGTGGGGCCCACCGGTGAGCCCCACCGACTCGAAAGGGTTAAAACGGTCAATTGAAATGAATTAGTAAAATACCATTATAATATAATTTTTTCTGGATTTGAATGAAAAAATCAAATTCTAAAATTTTTTTTTGCGTATTTCTTAAAATACGGTTTCCAGACAGGAAAACGAGAACTCCTCTTTCCAGACTCAGGCAATACCCCAATATTTTCTTTTTTTTTTGTTTTTGTTTTAAAGGTCTTCATCATAGCTAACTTTTGTCCGAAGAGATTTTTTATAGTTTGTTCCTCGCCTGAGAAAAGTGGCATTTACTGTCGTTGGACCATCATTTTTTATGCTGATTTTTCGACTTGGTCACCAAAAATACTCATAAAAAATGAATGAGAAAGAGTTCCAAAATTCCGGTTGGACACAAGTTGCGCACTGACATTAGCTTTAATTTGAAATCACCTCGAGCTCAATAGCCAGTGTCGTGAGAAAGTGATGTCGATGCCAAAAATGCGTCGTAATTCACTTGAAACTCCGGCCTAGTACGATTTATAGGGCTGAAATTTTTACCAGAGGCGTATTTCACCAAGATAAGTCATCCCTAAAAGTTTCAGCTCAACTGTACGATCCCAAATGGAAAATCGTTTCTGAGCGACGGTGGGAGGGAGGGCATTAATTCATTCGTTTGTTTATTTTTCATAATGTAATATATATGACAAATTAAGAAAACAACTTATATTTTAATTTCCACTGAGAAATTTTTTTTTTCAATATTTCTTACTTCTATAAATTATCTTTCATATAAATCCACTACAGAAGATCCAAAGACGAGAACAAAAAAAAGCATCGATATTAGAATCTGAGAAGATCCTACTCTTTTATTTTTCTGCCAAATATAAAAATTAAAACAAAAGTAGCGTAACGACTGAAACTGGTAAATCTATATAGAGAAATGTACATTGTTGTATATTCATAATTCGACTTAACTATACTGAATCTATCCAAAACAAATAAACATATATGATTTTTGTTTTTTAATTAAAATTTCGTGTCTTTTAAACTGTTCTTAAGGTTTATATTTTTTCTTACGTTGTTGCTTTTATTTAAAAAAGAGGATTATAAGTGATATTATCGATTTGTATAGTTATCAGTCAATTTGATATATTTCATTTGAAAATTCTTTTCATCTTGATCAATTCATAGATAGACAGATAAAAAACCGAGTCGAATCGAGTCTATTGATTTTGAATCATTTACCTTTCATTTCATTTATTTATTTTCTTTCAATTTTACTATTTGAATATCATTTTATTTCTCTCTATTATTCATATATTACAAAATACAACATATCATCTTTGAGAAAATCATTTTTCATATTTCATATACTAATAGAAACGTTTACCGTATAGAAATATCTATGAAATCATCACACAAATCAATTAGAAAATAATTGAAAAAGTATCATTGACACGGTTTACCAGGCTTTTCAGGATATTGTGGTACCCGTATCGAGAGAGATTTGGTGTGAGTCGTTACGCGGCATCCACACCGAGAGAGATGTGGTCAGTGTTGTCTTGTCACCAATAAGTCCAAACAATAGTTTAATGTGAAGATCATGGTGACTCTGCTTTTACAATTTTGAATTATGTTGTAGGTAATGTTTTTTTTGTACAACTTTGTAACTGTTTTGCGTCATCCAGTGATATATATATATATATGAATTCAATGGGAACGTTCTCCTGTCGGGTTCTCTGAGAACAAGAAATAATGATGGAATTTATCAATATTGTGATATAGTTCTTATTAGATATAATAAAATATCTAGTTTAAACAAAAGTGTACTAACTTGATATTTTAAAAGAAAAATAAGATTTAACGATAGGTTAACAAAAAAACGTTCGTTCTATAGAGCAAAAACGAGTTCATTCTATTGTACTAATATGAATAGTAAAAGCAAAGATTGATATGGAATAGTTTTGAAGAATAATTTCGTATCTTCAGAGATCTAAGTAGAATATAATGAAATGAATTAATATATCGACTTGATGCTCATTGGAATAAATATGGTATGTGGAAGTATAATACCAAGATGATCGATATATATCTATGATAAATGACGTATTATGGACATAAAACATAAATATAAAGGGAAATGAAATTACTTGGATGTTGAATAAGTATAGGAAATGTCTTTGAAAATGATATCATATTATTTTTCGTTATGAATTCTCATGTTTAATTCATGTTAATAAAACATCATAAGCATAGGAAGAATTTTTTTTTTTCAATGAAATAAAAACTAAAACCGTTTAGACGAATGTCGAAATTGTATTTAAATGGATTATTTTCAATGTGATTATTTAATTCTTTGATAATCATTCACGTTAGAATAATTGATTTAAATCATTTTCATCAGTTTCAACTAAAAATAAAAATGGTAAAAATCTATCAATTTGCTTATTAATTGATAAATATGTTTTATTAAGCCTATATATAAAATTGATGATATCGATTTGATTTTTTTGTTCAATTAGTGTATAAGATTTACTTAAAACATGATCTATTGATGATTTTTTTTTTTTTTATTTTGCAATAACTGACGACCTTTAGGCCCTTACAGTACAATGAGTAAATGATTAAATAAACCTACCAATAAATAGTAAAAAATAATAATAAGAGATATACACTACACCAAATGGAAAGATAACAAGAAGAAGTGTTTCGTAATACAAGGACACTCAGCAAAGAGTACTAGGACAGAAAATAAGATAACGACATCACAGAGAACAAACAAAAAGAGAAAAAAAAAAAAATACATAGCTAAGGTGAGCAATGAACAACAAGAACAAGTACATAATACATTCAACGATACATAGATAACGTCTGATATTAGAATCAA